TCTAAGAAAAATTTGTTGCTTAACGATATTTTTGAAAATTAATGCTAAAAAGTTGTCTATATTTGTGCTTGAGAATGTGCAAAAAGGCTCAAAACATCTCATTTTAATTATCTACCTCAGAATGTCGATATCTTTAGAAATACTAATCATGATCACTGTCTTTTACATATACTTTTATACTGTCGTGCTTAAAATTATTTTCTAGAACTCATATTTTGGAAAGGAAAAGTATAACACTTTTTCGCCAGTTTAGATTTGAAAATATTCTCAATCTTCATGTAATTCTCTCTTTTGGTAAAAGAGAGCTTTTATGACTATGGCTACCCGTTGTCAATTGATAAAATGAGCTGATATTAACTGATTAACGCAAATACAGAGTCATACAACACTGTTTACAATGCAATGCTTGATCACTATAGAATAAATATTGGTTGTAATCATACGCTCTCATTCATCCTTTATGTTTTCAGAACGAAGAGAAATTAAAGAATATGCAGTGATGCATTACTGATCAGACGATATACATGAATTGACCAATGGTGAAATTCATTGGTTGTTCTGTTCTTTGTCTCTCGTTCGCCTATTTATTGTGTATACTATTTTGTTCTGTTTTGTCGTGTTCTGTTTGACCTTATCACTCTCCCTGCTGAAAAATATTTCTCAATAGTTCATTTCTTCATAATTTTAAACATGATTGATCCTGATAATTTAAACTCTAAGCAAATACAACGCAAATTACGAAGCAAAGAATTTATTTTTGTGAACCATCCAAAATCAACACATGAATTGTGGAAGAACAATATTTCATTGGTGGGAGTAATTGACAACAACGGTCAACAACACATAATTGACGGCTGGGCTGCTTGTAAATATTGTTTTATTGCATATCGAACTCATTCAAAGAAAGATGAATCTCAAAATCGAAAAAACTATGGTTTTACTTCATTACATGCACATGTCCAGCAGTGCTCCGCGCACTTCAGCAAAAGTTCATAGTAGGAGTCGGAAGATGTAATATTCAAAAAATCAGTTACTGTTTAATCACTCTTGCCTCGTTTTGCATATAACAAAAACCAATTGACTGAAAATTTACAGAAACAATTAAAAGATGCAGAACTCAAGTTTGTAACAGCTGGAAGTCATTCGTTTAATGCTCTTGAAAATGATGGTATTCTGGATTTGATGCAAATTGCCATTGAAATTGGTGCTCAAATGGGTAAAGTTAATATTCATGATATATTTTATGGACGAAAGACCATTCGTAATGAAGCAATTAATAAATTTAACCATTTTTCAACTACTATTCGACAAATCCTCGAAGAACCAATCAAAAACCACTGTGTTGCTGCAACATGTGATATGTGGAGTGATGATTATGTCAAACGTTCTTATCTTGACTTTTCTGTCTTTTGGGCTACTCAAGAATACAAATTGTCTCACTGCTTATTACGGTGTAAGCATTTTACTGAAGACAACAAAACAGGTATAAATATCTGGCAAGAAATTAGATCAATATTTGAATCTTTCAATTTATCATTCGGTGATACGCCGGTCGTTACTGATCAAGGAAGTAATATGGTTGCAGCTTTCAACATTACACAAGAAGCTCGTTTTCCATGCATGGCTCATCGATGCAATACTACTCTCGAAACCGCTTGGAGTAGAACAGATACAAAACATCCAACATTTGCTATGTTTAACCTGGCGGTTCGTGAATTACGTAAATATGTTAATCAAACAACTGGTATTCAAGAGAAGTTACCGAAAACACTGAAAGGTGGTGGTGGCACACGTCCTTGGCGATGTTATTTTAATATTCACGATTCATTAAATACTTCCTATGAAAAATTGAATATTATATTACGTGAAAGACAAGAACAACATAGATTATTTAACATTGATCCAGTTTTATTGAACGAAATTGTCCAATTGATGAATCCATTTTCAATGGTATTTGATAAACTTGAAGCGGCTAATCAACCTACATTCCAGAATGTAGTACCAAGTTATTACCGTATGATAAACGACGTTCAACCTAAATCGAACGACCATAAAATTATTATTGATTTGAAAAGTGAAATTCGATACTCTCTTGATGAGAAATATTTATCTTCAATTTTGCAACTTCATTGGATTGGTACGTACTTAGATCCATCATTTAAATCGTTTTTTTTCGTTTCAGATCGTTTGTATTTGGAAACACAGAAGACAGAAAAGTCAAGATAAGAACGTTTGACATAATCATCACTGCACATATCACATGTTGCAGCAACACAGTGGTTTTTG